CTGGAACACTCCCAAATCCCTACTCAGGCAACGTCTTTCACATCACCTACCGCCTGGTCCTTTCAAGTGGAGATGCAGGGGATTGAACCTAGGACCTTCTGCATGCCAAGCAGATGCTCTTCCACTGAGCCATGCACCTTTCCCCCTTTCTCAGACTTCATTGGCTTTTCCAATGGAGGGAGAGCCACTGAAGTTGGAAGAACGCTTCTTAAGATGGAGGAATGTTCTTGGGGAGCCAACCATCATCCACACTGACCTGTGTTTTACCTCTCCACTGAACAAAGTTTGAAGCTGCCCTCCATCCTAAGGAAGCTTTCTCTGGCTCACTAGACCTTCCATTGAAGAAAGAGCCCACCAAAGTTGGAGAAAGGCTCCTTAAGCTGGATGGAGGTTCCTGTCCCACCTGACCACTGAGCGAGGTTTGAAGCCTTCCTCCGACTTAAACGACTGTTTCTTTAATGGAAAAGCCACAAGTTGGAAGAAGTTTCCTTGGACTGGAGGAAGGGCCACTCAAGTTGGTGGGTGTCCCCTTAGGCAGGAGGAAGAGGCACCTGAGATGGCAGGCGTCTCCTTGGGCTGCAGGGAACTCCCTCCAGCCTAAAGTAGGATCCTACTGTTGTTAATCACGCACTTAAAATCTGGCCCGAATAGCTTGCAGTCTAAAAGCCACAATGCACAAGAAACAAAAGGCAGTGGAAGAGATAAGGAAATGAAACACAGCCATTCATAGCTTTCCAAGTGACCGGGAAGAGAACGGTTGCTTATGGAGCATGCTCTGGGGGAAAGAAGCTGTCTCTCCCCTAACCACAATTCCCCGGGCTTGCAAACTGGGGTCTCTAGGGTGACCTCCTACCTTGAATCCAGTCAGGACGGCTTGCATCTAAGAGAAACGGTCATGTATAAATTTGCCCTACAGCGCTTCTCATGATGAATTCCATTTTGAAATTGTGGGAAGCCAGTTGGACACAAATGCATATGCATGGGGAGCTGTTAGCCAGCCTTGAAACACTGAACTCCAAAGTGGCAGTGGTGGCACCCGGGATGTGGGGGGAGGGGGAGACAAAGAGCCGTTTGTAGGTTGAAGCGCACTCTGGTTGCACACAATGAGTGTCCCTTTTAGCCACAAAAGCAGCAGTCCCCGCCCCCTTTGTGTGCTAATTGGAACTGGGGAAGCTTATCTTATTGCAGCTTTATTTGAGTCGCTGGCAACCTCCGCAAGTTGGTACGGTTTATTTATTTATCTCACCCCATGGAAGCCTTCTGTGTTGAACTGCGGCAGCATCTGTGATGTGCGCATTTGTGTGTCTGGGAACTGTGGGGCTGACCTCTCCCAGATAACCAAAAACCCATTAGGCAGTCAATTATGAGATTGGTGTGGAAAAAAGAAATCCTGTGGTGTACATGAATCATCGCGACACCCCGGGGCTTTCTGCTGATTTAGGTCATATGATTGCTATCTCTCCAAGTGTTTTCTCTGCGGCTGTGTGGGCTAGCTAGCGTCAGTGCTCGACTCTTACTTCCTTAAGCAAAAGATAAGGCCATCCTATTTTACAACAATGTTGGGGTGTTTGGATTGACCGAAGAGATGATGACCTAAAAATCCTACCCCTTGTTGCTTAATCAGAGCAATTTGTTAACAGAGTCACAATTGTAATATTGTTTTCCTTGTGGAATCTGTTTGTGCTTGTGCAGAAAATGGCTGCATAACAGTTTCTGGAAATTCAGGAAATGATTCCTAAATTAACAGAATGTGGGCTGGCAGCCATAAAAACAAGGTTTTTGTGAGGAATACAACAGTCTCTGCCTCTGACCACTCAAAGACCCATCAAGCAGGCCTACAAAAAGCCTGCTAGGAGCTCCCCTTCCCACCCTAGCAACTGCACATCTGTCCCAGCAAGCCCACCCATGAAGAACCATGACTAAGAAGGAAAGGATATCTGCCCACTGTTCAAGGATATGTCCTTCATTTCAGCACAGACTTGGGCTTGCATCCACCAGAAGGCACAAACAGAAGGGATTTCCTCTGTGAGGCATGACTTCCCTGCCTTCTCCCTCATACAGCTGTTCCAAATGCCCCCTGAAATACTGCTCCTGGGGGGACATGGTTCTACCCTGAAGGGGTAATCTGAGGCTATGGGATGAAGACAGAGGGTGGTAGGTCTGAATACACGTTTGCTACCCTATAAATGTTTGGGGATGCGTGTTCAAACTGTTTTCACCACACTTTAGAATCACACCTATCTTCACCCTTGTATTGAGTAATGTCGTTGGTCTTAGAACCCCAACATTGTCTTCTTAGACCACCAGTGGGTGTCCCAACCTGCCAACCAAGTTCCATTTAACCGGCAGGATCAAACCTGGGACCTTCTCTTTTCAAAAGAAGAGCTCTCCTGCTGTTTGGCCCCATCAAGAGGGCCCCAGAATTTAAGGTTCAGCCTAGGCATAGCAGTAAATCCTGTGATCATCTTGGTTAGTAGCTACTAAAAGATCAGGGGTTTTCAAACTACTTTCTTGTTGAAACAGAGAAAATGTAGTCTGTCAAAATGTGGCTTGTCTTTAAATGACCTTGGTGGAATCTTGAGTTGCCACAGATTATTGGAGAAATGAAGAGAAACCACTATAATGGATCATTCATGATGGGCCCCACTTATCCCTCTGTGCACTGGTGAAAACGTGAGGCAGATGGACATTTTATTAACCTTTATCGACATTGATTGCAGCCATTAATAGCAATTAAATTATGAAAGCTGGGCAGATCAGGAAACTTTGCTGGAGTCGCAGTCTCCTTTAAGTGTCCTCTGTTTGGCATCGAGGACTTCACAACCTTAGTGTTTAGAGGTGAATCTCTTTTGGGGGGATATTATAAAACCACTTCACTGAGCAATGGGATACCTTGCTTAAGAGGCTGCTGGAATTTTCATGTTCTTCCATGTCTTTCTCTTGTAAAGAATCACTGATGGTTTTGCCTCAGTTATTTCCAAGGGAGGCTTGGATTATTCATGAAAAAAGACAGTTCTGTCAGGGACTATGTAGTCATCCCATTCCTGAAGTTATGTGTAGATACAAGAGTGAGTAGAATGAGTAGAATGACTTGCAATGATTTATCATAGGAACTCAGTCCATTCTGCGCTGCGGATTGTCAATTTTTACTCCTGAAATGCCTGATTGAGATGGGCTTAGAGGTACCATCTGATAGCTGGGAAGAAAGAGATGCTAATTTGCTGTTTTTGCAGAGAACCTGGAACTTTTTACCTTATTCATGAAAAAAGACAGTTCTGTCAGGGACTATGTAGTCATCCCATTCCTGAAGCTATGTGTAGATACAAGAGTGAGTAGAATGACTTGCAGTGATATATCATAGGAACTCAGTCCATTCTGCGCTGCGGATTGTCAATTTTTACTCCTGAAATGCCTGATTGAGATGGGCTTAGAGGTACCATCTGATAGCTGGGAAGAAAGAGATGCTAATTTGCTGTTTTTGCAGAGAACCTGGAACTTTTTACCTTGGACAGAGCACCCAGCAAAAATGTCCTGTCTCCTTGGGAACTGCACAGAGGAATACTTCTTGCTTTAGGACAGCATCCTCCCTCTTCTCAGGCTTATTTGCATGGTTAGCAACCAACACATAACTTCCATATGTAAGAGGCTTGGAAACAAAGGGTAAAGGATGCAAACGGGCATGTAGGAAAGAGCAACAGCTGTTGCAATTGCATGCCATATACATAGACATTAGTGTGCAATACTGTTCCAGCTCTAATACAAATGAAACTGTCGTTGCCATAATTCTTGTGAGAAGCCCAAGTCTGCCTCTATACATTTGTGCCCCTATTCCTGCCTGGTTTGATGCCATGGTGGCTTAGAGGCTAAGCTGCTAAGCTGCAGACTGGAAGGTCGGTAGCTCGGCAGTTGGAGACCCTACTGCTGCATGATGGAGTGAGCTCCCGTCTCTGGCCCAGCTCCTGCCAACCTAGCAGTTCGGAAGCATAGGTAGATAAATAGGTACCACTTCGGTGGGAAGGTAACAGTGTTCCGTGCACCTTGGTGTTTAGTCATAGTGGTTAAGTGCGTGGGCTCTAATCTGGGAGAACCGGATTTGACCATGGAAAAGTCTTTGGACAGCGCTGGCTCTTTGGCTTGGAAATGGAGATGAGCACCGCCCCCTAGAGTCGGATTCGACTGGCTGTCAAGCAAGGGAAACCTTTACCTTTACTTTACCTTTATCTATTTATTTATTTATCCGGAGAATTTTTCTGCATCTGGCAATAGTAGTTATCATTTTCTTGATGCAGCAGTGGCCCAGGTCACATTAAGATTGCAGCAATTGAAATATGTATGGGCAGGGGTCTTGTTGTAGAAAAAGAGCTGCCGGAGCTCATTAGCATAACTCATTAGCATAACTTATTTGCATATGCCACGCCCCCTGACATCACCGGAAGTGACAGAAGGCCACACCCCCTGACATCACCGGAAGTGTGTCAGAAGGCCCGGCTACTTACCCTCCTGCTTCATCCTCATTCCCAAATGGAATGAGGATCGAAGCAGAGGGCGGGGTAAAGAAGGGGGCGGGGCTTCACCACGTGACCGCCCCGCCCCCTAGAGGTTCTCTTCCGGAGCTCCGTACCTGAGAGCTCCCCCCCGACTAGAGCCCTGTGTATGGGATTCAAACAGTTTTTCCAGTATTTCCATAACTTCAAGGTATCTTCATGTCTTTTTTTTGCAGAAAGAAGCTGTGCAGTTTAAAAATAATTGCCATTTTTATAGTTTGGTTGTTAGATGGGGTAGCAGCATCAAGAACTGCAGAAATATTTGGGCCACGTGTGAATGCTGTTAACTCCAATGAGAAATTCAGTGTACATTCCGGGCAATTCACATACTACGTTTGTTTTACAGATTTCTTTAAAGAAAAGTCTGTCTAAGCCTCACAGGTGAAGGATGCTCTGACATAAACCACCTTCCCAGCACCTAATGGATGCCATTTGCTTCTTTTCTCTTTTCCTTAGAATTCTTGACAAACTGCTCCACTATGGGCTGCCAGCACCACTGTGTCCCGACTCTGAATGGCCCAGCCTGCTATTGCAACAGTTCCTTCCAGCTGGCCGAAGACGGGAAAAGCTGTAAAGGTAGGCAATACTGAAGAGAGAGATGGCTGGCAGGTGCCTCCGGAAAACCTAGTTAGGCTGTGGTTTTTATAAGCAGAGCTGTGTCTTTCCTCCCCATTATAGTCTGTGAGAATGTCTTATTTACAGGAAGACTTCCAATGCTGTAGAAAATCTGGATTCAGAATTTAGAACTCTTGATTGGCAGTCAACAGCACTAGTGCATTAATTAATGATATCTCTCAAACATCACGTTTTTGCGGGTTGTGATCGGGAAAAGCCTGCTCATAAGCATGGCCCAGGCTAGCCTGGTATCTTTTTTTTCTTCCTTTGGTATTTTTGCATTTGTGTGTCATGGCGACCTCTGGTGACTCCTACTGGGTCATGGAGGACGTTCAGAGAAGTGGCTTGGTAGCCTGCCTCTGCCTCCCGACCCTGGTATTCTTTGGAGGTTGCCCATCCAAACACTTGCCGAAGTTGGCCCTGCTTAGCTTCTGAGATCTGACGAGATCAGGGTTGCCTGGGCTATCCAGGTCAGGGCACTAGCCCGGTATCAACAGATCTTGGAAGCTGAGGGTCGGCCCTGATTAGTATTTGGATGGGACACCTCCAAGGAAGTCCAGGGTTCCCGTGCAGCGGCAGGGAATGGCAAACTACCTCTGTTTGTCTCTTGCCTTGAAAATGCTATTGAATCGCCGTAAGTCGGCTGTGCCTTGTTAGTATTTCCACCAACAAGCATTTTAAAAGCTGCACCGCTCATTGTTCTGTAAAGGTGGTTTTGTGAGTATTACAGATAAAAGAGTTGCATCATTGTTGTTTTTGGGTAAGCCAGATAATCTCAGTTTCATTTTTCAAATACTATTTTTGGCTAACAATAGAGCTCAGTATCCCATCTTTTGATTCAAACATGACAGTGGCAAAACTCTTAGGAACAGGAGGCTTAAGGCGTGTCCTGGTTTAATTCTTCATGTCTTTAAGAGCCTCTGTGTTTCGAGGATGCTCAGCCTGGCATGCCAATACTTTGGAATCTTGTCCTGTTAAAGCCCCATCGAAACGAATGGGCATTACACCAGGGTATTATCATCCATTCACACACCTACCATTGATTTTCAAAGTGGCTGATGCAGGACAACTTTCCCAGTGGATTGTGATGTCAGAAGAAAGCCCTCTAAGATGAATTGAGTATGTAGTTTCATTTTGCCCACCCATTTAAAAATCCTGTCTCTCAAACAAGTTAGCGATGCAGTGGCTTAGTTGGCTTCATACCCCTCATTTTGAGGACAGTTATTAAGCACTGTACAAATAGTAAAAGGTTGGTATGTTTTGGTTAGACCTCCCCCACTTTGGCAGACCTAGATGTTTCAATTTCTCTTCCCCCTTAAACAGATTTTGATGAGTGTACCGTGTACGGCACCTGTAGCCAAACCTGTGCCAACCATCATGGTTCCTACATATGCAGCTGCGTTGAGGGGTATCTTCTTCAGCCTGACCACAAATCCTGCAAAGCCAAGAATGGTAAGAGATCGTTTCATGCTCTAAACTATTCTGCAGCACTACAAGGCATTTCTGGTTTTCCCATTACCTTCTTATCATCAGAGTACAGTTTTGTTGTGGTGTCAGATTTTTCCAAATATGTATATAAAACACTAGGATTTGTGAGGACTTATGGGTCGGTGGGGGGGCTCATTTACTCCTGACCCCTCCTTACACCATCTCTGCTTTTCCTCTTCTGGCAGCCCACAGCCATTCCCCTTTCCCTGTTTCCTTCTCTCCCTCCATCCCACCTTCCCTCCCCTTGGCAGCCCCAGCAGCCTCTC